TTGTTTGCTTTTTCACGTAGAATAAAATGCCGTAATAAAAATTATGTATTTCTATTTAAAAAAGCAAAGTTGATCTTGTCCTGACCTTGGCGACGTCATCTTAGGTCAAATAACTACTGTCATTAAATGCGACTTTTTAATCCTTACAACTTTTATTGGAAACATTTTTCTCTAAAATGCTCCTCCGCCGAGTTTTCTTGCCGTTCCGGTACTTTTGCTACACCCTGTGTGTGTGTGTGTGTGTGTGTGCGTGCGTGCGTGCGTGCGTGCGTGCGTGCGTGCGTGCGCGCGTGCGTGCTTGCGTCCGTGAGTGCGTGCGTGCGTGCGTGTGTGTGTGTGTGTGTGTGTGTGTATAAATCCTAAAAATTCCTAAAAAACGATCTAAGTCGGACTCAGACAACATTGAGAAGTCATTATCTGTGACTATAAAAGAGAAATTATAAAATTCAAATGTGGCATCAATGACAAAGAAAGACGAAAAAGATGCAGAAAATAAATTTATAGATTTAATACTTGTAGATTTAAGAAAATTGTCAGAAAGAGAACGTCAAGGAAAGAAAAGAAAAATAATTGATATTTTAAAGAGTTAAAAAAAAGAATAATTTTAGTTCATATAGCATTCCAAAACAATGAAGCATGACTATGGAATGTCTCACGGAATTGAAAAAACAGATATCAAAACATTATATTATTATTTTGTATTTTATTTTGTTTTCTTAAACGAAACATAAGAAAGCTTCTTTGTTATTATAACACTAACGAAAGTGATTTCATTAATATTTGATAAACGTTTTAACAAAGGAGTTTTCTTACATTTCATTTAGCATAAAGCATAAGGCACAGGAATATATGCTGTACAATTTTGTTAGTATTTATTTTTTATTTGTAGAAGTTTTGTAAGTAGAACGTATAAAAAGAAAAAGAATCTGTGACATTAGGTAATCCCTTACGGAAAAAAACTATTGAACGCGCAATACTTAGTATTGATTAATACTAAGTTGGCCAATACTTTTTTGGGCAATATTTAAGCCAGTGGCACACAATGCTTGTTTTCATGCTGGATTGCTTGCTAGATGGAAATACTATGTTTTGATTGGTGCATTTCTGAAGACGGACCAATCAGAATAGAGTATTTCCATCCAGCAAGCAATTCAGCACGAAACAAGCATCGTGTGCCGCTGGCTTTAATATTGCCTAGGGTGCG